GATCGCCGATGTACAGTGCTGAGGGGAGCTGAGGGCGGGTCAGGAGAGGTCTGGGGAGCCAGGTGGTCACCTCCAGGGCAGGTATAGAACTCACGCTGCAGTGGCTTTAGCTTCTCAGTGCTGTGCTTTAACCTGCTGCGCCACCAGGGAGGGCCCCCAAAATGTTTACTTTTTAACAAACCACACAAAAAGAAAAGAACAAAGATAAAAGGGGACATGTCTGTAATATTAGGTGCAATTTTGGTAGGTATTTATTAGAAATAAAGTGTTTCTTCCTCATCAAATGGAGGTGGACAACATACAAAATTTAAGCTTGGCAGCTCCATCTTTTTTTTTTTTAACTTGGCAGCAAAATGTCGCAATTTAAAATAGTCATTTTGTCATGCATTCATTCCCACCATCAGGTGCTAGAGTTTGTTTTGTGCTTTTGGATCTATTTTTGATGCCATAACACAAAGTAAGGTTTCTATCCCCAAATATACATGTGATCCTGAAACGAATCACAATGTCATTTTGAATTTCTATCTTGGTAGGTGGATTTTCTTTGTCTTAATTTTAAAGATAATCTGCGAGTATCCATGAGTCATTCCACAGGTAAAGCAACTTGTGATGGACAACTAGTCTTTAATCCTCTTGGAGGGCAAAATAAAATTGTTTTGAAAGACAAAAACACATTTTCATAGTGAATGGAAGTCAGGATGTTTGTCAGGGTTTTGCAAAAGTTATATATTGGGTCTCCCCTAGTGGTACAGGGATTAAGTCTCAGCACTGTGACACTCTCCGCAACACAAGTTCGATCCCCAGCCAGGGAGCTGACCCACATGGTGCGGCAGACTTCTCCTGTCTCCCTACTGCTCCCCTCAGCAGTATGTTTCAGTGGATCTGCCTGTTCTGCTCCCCATTCTGTCTCTGGTGAACCCTCTCATCCCCTGACCTGTTGCGTAGACCCCAGGTCTTGCATGCATGCATAAATAAAACAAATCTTTTTTTAAAAAACAATTGTCTAATACCATAAGAGGTTGTCAGATAAAACCACTGTTGGGGCTGCAGTCTCTCCAGCTGCCTGGGGATACCACTCTCTGGCCGTCCTGCTTGCTCCCTTTCTCTCTGGCCACCAGGGTCATGCCAGCTGCCAGGTCAGCTGCATCTTTTCAGTTCTGTCCCAGCGCCTAGGTCTACCCATGGACCACCTAGCTTCTTGGTGATCTATCATTATAAAATTAGGTGATATGAAAGAACATAGTGGCACCGACATTCTGAGCAGTGCATTAGCATTCATGAATATTTCAATCAGTAAGGAATATGGTATGAGGTCAGCTTAATTAATGGTTATTGACAGAGAAAACAATGGAAGGGTTTTCTTTAAGTAGAGATAGACAGCTGTCTTCTAGATCACAATCTCTTGATGAGATGAGTTTCTCTTGGGGAAGGAAAGACCTATTTAGATTTTTTTTTTGAGGTATATGTCTGCTGTTTTCCCCCAAAACCTTGTGTTTATATATATATATATATATATATATAAGCCAAATTCAGTATGAAGACATTGTTTATACTGTACACATTCCTAATTATTACTGTTTAAGACACAAAGCACAGTATATTTTCAAAGTAACTCAGCTGGGTGATTTAACTTTGATGTCACAGAACTGGGGACTCTCTGGAGGCTTGGTTATGATTAGGATCCAGATAATTCTTTTGTCCAAAGAAACCTTAGTGTATCCAAAATCATCAGAATTTCTTTCACTAATCTGGTCCCAACGGGATTTCCCTGTGCCCAGGTAGGTCTGTGCACCTGATAGTTAGGTGCCATCTCAGCCTGGTGCCAGAGGCGGTGTCGTAATCCAAGAGGGTCCTGTTGCATCAGACAGTTGAATTGAATCAGTCCATGTTGAATTCAACAGTTGACTTCTGAGCTGGTGACCTGACTTTAGAACTAACCCCCAGGGTGTTTGTTGGCTACTGGTATATAAACAGTCACGGATCATGGTGGTTAGTGGATAATAAATAGTGTGGTACCCAAAGACTGATGGACTAAGATCCAGAGTGGGCCGGTCTAAATGTGGGCAGAGCAGACATACTCAGATTAAGAGGAATGAGGGAGTTTGCTTGGATTTTGATAAAGCGTCAGCTCTGTGTCTTAGAGATATCAGCATCTGTATTTGAAAGCAACTGATTAAATCAGAGTCTGAGGAAAACCTGGCAGGGGAAATTAATCCATAGGCACATCATGTAGTAGAAAAGACCTTTGGTTCTGTCACTCAGGAGATAATCTCTTCAACATAAGCTTGAAGAGCACCTAGTGAAGGAAGATTCTGTGCCATCCTTTGCTAGGAAAAATTATACTGACTTTTCTCAGTTCCTGCAACCAAATGTACCAACACAGTAATGGACCGCGTGGGAATACTGGTTCGTCATGAAAATAAATATGTCTAGTAGGATTTTGATGGACGCTTTTCCCATCTGACTATTTAATAAAAGGTATTTGTCTAGGATGTGCAAGAATTTAGTCTTTTTGGGAATCAAGTTTCACTTATAACCATAGTGATAATTTGTCACCGTTGATACACATGATTAAACACCTTCCAAGTGGGGGTAGAGGTGGGGAGACACTAGAATCATCTGGATGCAGCCAATGGTGAGCTGCCGAACCCCTTGTCTCCTCTGCAGTGGGCCCTAGAAGGTCAAGTCTACTCCAGGGAGAATCACTGCCTGAAGAAGTTGGGCACCAGGCTGCACACTGGAAACCCGTACTGTGTCACCTTCATTGCCTCGGTTGGCTTTAGAAGTTGCAATGCCCTTTCCTCGGTTAATTTGAGCCTCTCCAGTCAAAACAAAACACAGGCTAAGAAGCCCGTACTACGTGGTCCTAAAGCATGGATGTTGAAAAGCTGTGCAGGCGGGCAGACACTACGGAAAGCTGGGACTACTTAGAGGGGACGTCGGATGAGGGACGGTAGATGCTGTCTGGGAAAGTGGTCTCAGCGCATGAGATATGGATTGATGAATGTCCATACCGCCAGCATCTTGAGGTGAAGATAGACGTGGAGGTCCTCAGTGTGAAGCCGGGGGCTGGGGACAGGGTGTGTGTGTGTTTAGGGAACAGGAAATAGTGGAAACAGCCAGGGTGGCCAGTGACGTCAGTTCACTGGAACTTTTGATGATTTGTTAAGTAACCTCAATGATTTAATGTTCCATTTTAGCTATAGAGTGATTGTAAACTTTGAACAAGGTGGGTGGGCAATCAAAGAGCAAATTAAGAAGCATCCAAGTTGATTTGTGCAGAGATTATGGGGACCATCAGGGTGTTTTCTGATGGGTGTAACTATTTTAGTAGTATAAGTATATATATATATATACATATATACACATATATAATTATACTATATGTATACATATATGTATATATATATGTATACATACTTACATATATTTATTACACACACACCTATGTATATGTTTTCTTATCACACATACCACATTGTGATATGCTGTTTGACCCAAGTTGTTGAATACCAAAATTCAGATAGCATCAGCAAGTTGAGATAAACACAGCAGTGTTTGAAAAGAGAGAAGAAATTTACCAAGATTTGAAATGAACAAGATTTGTTTTAAAAAGAGAGGAATAGAAAGCTTAAACAGAACTTTTTTGTGAACTTTGTCTTCAGCTTAAAACAACACTAAGGCCTGCAACTTCAAAATCTAGGGAAACAGAAATTGTATTCTTGCTCTATATTGGAAAATCAGAAGGAAGAGCCAGGAGATGCTAGAGAAGTTTTAACCCGGCTTCATTCAGCAGCCGATGAGGTCGCCCAGAAGCCGTTGGATCTGCAGTCCTGAGGGCCAGCGAGGACAGCGCAGCTCCTGAGACTCAGAGGGGCTGGTCTGAGCCTGGGACGCAGGAGTCCTGCGGGAGAAGGTGCAGGGGGATACGGAGACAAAACAGAACAGAGGGAGAAGTGGTAGCTGTGGGCCTTCTCCTTGGAAATGGGAGATGTTTCTGGAGAGAGAGCTCACTGAATTTCATGGACTGTAGAAGGGCACAGCCAGATCACAGTTTCATGTGGGCACTGTGAAGGTGTGTATGCACACATGACTGTGTGTGTGCACGTGCGTGTGCACCTGTGTGTGTGTGGGGTGTATGCAAAGCTACATTGTTAAAAGCATTTGGTATCTGCCAGACTTTTCTCAAAACTTTTCATGATACTTTGATCCATGGCTTAGCCATCATAAATTCATTGATTGCCACTATTCTGTATATGGGGTTGTGTCATCTATTACTATTTTGTATTGTATCCAGGCAACGGAGGCCATGCAACAATGCATTCTGAAATCGTTGTGAATTTGGGTGGGCTGGAAAATAAAGTATCCAGGACCCTCCCTACTTGTGATTCTGTCATCCATCCGCACGCTTGGGAGGGGCTGCTTATTGCACATTCTCTCCTGCTCTGCCTTGCCTGGCTGCCCTTGAACTTGGGAGGATTCCCTTGCTAAGTGAGCATGCGGCAGCCGGGACTGTTTGCTTTCGCTGAGGGCTGTCAAGTGGTGGGAATGTTATGGGGACCACATCTGAGAGGAGAAATCAAACCTTGTACAAAAATGAACGTTGAAGTAAAAAGATATAGAAATAAAGATTAAAAACAAGAAGGGTATCCCTGGCGGGGCAGAGGTTAAAGCACAGCACCATGAAGCTATCGGCAGCCACTGCAGCACCAGTTCGATCCCCAGCCAGGGAGCTGACCCACATGGCCCAGCAGACTCTTCTGTCTACTCACTGCTCCCCTCATCAGTGTCTTTCACTCCCCACTCTGCCTCTGGTGGATCCTCTCAGCTTCTCACAACTCTGATCTACACCCAGTTGTTGTATGCATAAATACAAGTAAATCGTTAAAAAAAAAAAACAAAAAAAAACAAAAAAAAAACGTGGTCAACAATGGAATTCCGAAGTCACATCACCCCTGTGTACCTGCTCTGCTCACACTTTGCTTTCTCCTTGTTCACAGAACCCAAAGTCAGCTGCAAACTGGGCCGCTCAGCGTCCACGTCTGGGGTGCCCCCGCCGTCTGCCCCTCCACTCAGGCCAGCCAGCGACCTGCCGCCGAGCCAGGTACCGCCTAGCCAGTCGTGATTGACGTCCTGTGCCGCAGCATGCGAGACCGTGTCTGTCGTGTGTCGCTGTAGACACGTTTGCATTGGCTTTTATTTCTGTGTGTATGGGGCGGGGGATGAGTCCAGTCTGTGTCCTCATCCGAAAAGCAAGTCTTTCTCCGCTGTTATGGGTGCAACTTTCTTCGCTGTTTGTTACCAAATCGGTGTTGTGTCCAGTTTCCCATTCTGTAATATCAATGTAGTAACCCTGTACTCTCTGTATCGGCTGCTGGTTATTTCGAACAATTCTCTCTCTCTTCCATGTTCTGTGTACTTTTATACTGTCATGAAAATTTATCAACCTTTGATAAATTTATCAACTTTGTTTTATGTAGATTTCTTTTTAAATGTTTTGTCAACAACACTTGCACCGATGTTGCCAATGAATTTGTACCTATCTTTCAGCTCTTATCCTATTACACTGTAATATTTGTGGCCGTTTTACTTTTATTTTTTATTTCGCTCGGAGCATGATTGTAAGACACTGTGAATATTGATGTCCTTATAAATATTCATTTGCCAACTCACTTGCATTGAATTTGGGCAGCTAGTGTCCTTTCTTAGGTCACGAAGACAACTGACTAACCATGATCTAGAAATTTACCAAACTGTAGGTTCACAAGGTGATCTTTAAATAAATGGTTTCTTTCTGGTATATCAAAGAAAGATATCAGAAATGTTCTCAGAAAGGGATTGTAAGGATTCATGCATGGTAAATGAGATCTCTATTATTACTTGGAGAAAAGAGACCAAAAATAAAAATACAAGTTAAAATATCATTTAATCCTCTATAGTGCAATACGTTGCTCTGATGTTCATTTGGGTGCTGTGTGTGTGTGTTGGGAGGTGGGGGGGAGTCATGACACATAAACATCCTATTACCTACCCAATAGGAGTTCAGTACATTGACTTATTTAGTGAAACTGAAGAATTGTTACTGTTAAGTGTTATGGGTGTTAAGTTGGATAATGTCACTTGCTTCTTAAATTTAATATTTGCCTACAAGAAACTTCCAAAATTACTGATGAAAAAATTAGTGGTCTGCCTCCCTGGAGAAAGCCTGTTACTGATTAGCAAATTATATATCCATCAATTATTTAAGATGTCCAGTTCTTTTAAAGTCATAACTAAGAATAATTGATTTTTTTTTTCTAGTGGGACATGTGCATCTTTTTAGTATATTGCTCTAGCTTACTTATGCTCAGGATCTGATTGATGAATAAATGACAGACAGACAAACACAAGAAATGAGAGATTTCTCTCAAGGGCATCTCAAGTGTTGTTTAGAATGTGTCTTAAATGTCTTTATACCTAAATTGTTCTGGCTTAAGCACTTGTTGGGTATAAAAAAGTAGAAATAGGAAAACAATGGATTGATAAATAAACAGCATCATTAACTTAATAAGATAAACTATCAATAATTGATCAAGCTCTTCCAAATAATAACATTTACT